CGCAGTAGGCGGCGAGCCCTGCCGGCCGCTCCGAGGCGACGGAGTAACCCTGCTGGCTGGGCAGCGAGGCTGCGCCTGGCGCCGCCATCTTGGGAGTGGGCGGGCGCGCCAGCCGGGTTCACGGGCTGAAGAGACGGCGGCGTTTGCGCCCAGGCCTCGCCTCCACGTGGGAAACGCGTCTTTTTCTTGTGCTTTTCGGACTTCCCTTGGGTACGCGCCGGCCCGCGTTTTGCGTGGCGCAAGCGCTGGGGGTCTGGCACCTAGTGCGTGTTGCATGAGTGTGGCAATGAGCAATGCTTGTATGAACCAACACTTGAACCCTAGAAGGACAGGTGGAAGGACCACCCTCTTTTCCCAAACCTCACCCCCCCCTTCATCTCCCGGTACCTTTCTCCACCAGGGGGTGGCCTGTGGGAATAGGGAACCCTGGCTGCAGTTAAGGGCCTGCTTCTTGTGCTTAGAAACTCAGGTGCTCAAGCTCCCAACCTGAAACTTACTTTACGCACCTAACAGCTTCGTTCTTAAAAAAATCTTTTAGAACCACACAGCAGCTTGCCCTCCAAACGCCTAGATTACACCCAATGCGGAAAATGAACTGATGTTTGTTTTGTCCCAACTTCTGTGACCAGCAGCAAGAAAGGAAGGCGGGAGGCAGAAAGGCTGAGCAAGCAGAGTTTATTGCTGCGGGACAGCAGCTGAGAGGGAGCCCCTAGAGTGGGGTCTGCAGCTACTGCCCATTCAATAAGGGGGAAGGGTCTCATATAGATTCTAAACTCAGACTCCAAAGGGGTGACTCAGCGCTGTGTCCTTGCTGTGAGGCCCAGTTCGCTGTCACCTTCAGCTAGTCCCATCCTGGATGCAAGGTCAGTTTATTACCACCTTATCAAGCTTGGATGCAAGGCTCAATTCTTTACCGCCCGAATTCAGTCCTTGTCAGTAAATCTTTGGTCACTCCCAACAATGTTTTTCGGTGGGGCAGATATTTACTGATCACCCACCGAGTGCCAGGCACTGTGCTAGGTGCTGGGGACAAAGCAGTCCATACCACAGCGCAACAGCAGAGACTCGATCCCAGGGGCGGGAAATGATAGTAGTACAGGCTGCTGGAGAACAGGGGTAATCAAAATGGTCACAGGACCATTTTGCACTTAAAATGATTGAAGACTGGAAAGGGTTTTCTTTATGGGGATTTTATTGATCAATATTTGTCATACTAAGATTAAAACAGGTGTTTAAAAATACTAGTTCATTTAAAAGTAGCAAGAAACCCATTACGTACATACATAAATACCACAACCCAGATGTGAGTGGGGGAACGATTCCCAGGAGAAATTATTTCTCCTATTCCCCGGACGTTTGCATCTAAACTTAGCCATTGAGTATGGGTCTGGTTTCAACCATAACAGCGAATTTTAACTAGTAGCCTGGATTTTTCTGTTTTTTTTTTTTAATTGTATTTCTTTCTCGTAAAGTTTAGTTCTAGTGGAAACTTTCAGGGAACTAAACTGGCAGGCATGTTTCTGATACAGGCAACAGGAGTTCTATTAGGCCCACTTAAACATTGCGAAGTATTTCTTCCTGGAACCAAAAATAGCACACAGCTGTTTTCTGCAATGTGGTATTGGGCTCCCATTTCATTCCTTACCGGGTTCTCAGCATAGGTGAAACTATGCTGCACAGCCCTACTGCCTGTGAGAGAGTGGTTGATGTTTCCCCAGCCCCTGTCAGCAGGTGACCAAAAGGTTCCTTAAGCCTTTTGGTGTGATGCAGCCACCCTAGCCGGAAGGCTGCCCAGAGGTCTGAGAGAGCAGCCCTGTGTTCTAAATTGAATTTGACTCACTGAGCCAATAAGAGCTCTCCCAGGGAGTGTGATTAGGGGAATAGCAGACATGGTTGGAGTAGCAGAAAAGCAGGGAGGCCCACACAGCAAAGGTAGTGAGCAGAGCAGAGGCTTGCTGTGGAGAAGTTCTCCAGGGCTGACAGGAGCCCAAGCCTTTAGGGAGGCTCACCATAACAGCAGAACTGTGGTGATGGACGCTAAGCACCCAGGGACCCCTAGTGGCTTCCCACTGGGCGTGAGACCTGAGCGGTTTAAACAACACCCATGTTGCCACGAGGACCTGGTTCCGGTTGTCTCCCTGAGTGTTCACAGAATGAACTCCCTAATAACAGGTAGTCTGGAGCACCTTTGCCTTTGGAACCTTCTTTTTTTTTTAAAGATTTATTTATTTGTGCATACAAAACTGAGGTACAGGCCAGAGGTGCAGGGGTGGTGAGAGGATTCACCACAGACAGAGTGGGGAGCAGAACAGGCAGATCTATGAAGTACACTGCTGAGGGGAGCAGCGGGCCAGTCAGGAGCAGTCTGTGCGCCATATGGATCACCTCAGGGCAGGCAGGGATCAAACTCATGAGGAAGTAGCTTTAGCTTCTTAGTGTTGTGCTTTAGCCCGCTGCACCACCACGGAGGGCCTGCCTTTGGAACCTTTTTCAAGATATTTTGCAGGTCACAGAAACACGGAAGGTATGGGATGACAAGGAACGACCTTTATCATTATAAAGATAGCTCCTGAAATCCTGGGCCCGGATGCAAATGGGCCAGGTAGGGGTCTGCTGGACTCAGGAAGAGGAACCAGTTAGGGAACCCAGACAGAAGTTTCTCCCTGAACTTTCTTTTCTCCTTGACCTCCGGAAGGGGTGATTTATGCTGTACGGTATGCTGTACGCTGAGCCTAATAGACTGTGGCCTTCTTCAGGGATAAGTATGCACCAACATACAACAGTGGAGAGCACATAGCCAGAGGTCATCTACCTGGCCTAGGGAAACGACTGAACTATACTTTACTAGGTTTTAAAAAAAAATAATTCCAAGCAAACGTATACGCATAGGTCATTTTTATATTATGTCTTTACTAAGAACTTCTGGTTCCTATTCCTAATGCTTTAAAGCTTGAACTCCCTGTTGCTCCACCAGTTATTGTTCCATATTTTAACATATTGTTATTTTTTGGCAATGATTTGACTCAATTGTACCCCCAAACTAATTTAATTACAAAGTAGATTTTTAAAAACTATTCCATCCACCGCCTCTCTGTCCCAATTTCCTGACACCTCAACACTGAGTGGAAAGAAAAGTAACTCCTGACAAAAGATACATGGTTTCCTAAGCTAAAATGGTTCAAATTGCAGAAATTCTCCAAACCCAGACTGGCTACTTTTAGCAGGTATGCCAGGAGTAACTTGTGGTTCTTGCAGCTTCACTGATAAGACTTGCCCACTGGATATTTTGATTCTCCTGTTTGTGTCTTCCTGCTTTGTCGTGTATTATTACAATATACTAATCTGAATCTTGGATGCGGGCCAATCCCGAGCGAAACTGGAATGTGAAATTTGCTTTGTATGTCTCCTCCCTCCCTCCTGCCCATTTCAAACCAGTCCCCAAAAATGAAATCTTCCATAGTAACTTTTCTGCCACCTATTACAGTAGGCAGAATGAAAGACCTTGAGAAGTTGGGCCTGCTTGTAAGCTTTGCTCTGAGAAAGATAATCTGTTAAAGAGATCAGCCCTGGACAAAAATCAAAGCCGGGAGTTTGAATCCCAACTCCCTATAAAACCACTTAGGGTATTATGTGAGCTCAGCTCCCTAAATCACCTAGGGGGCATTGAGAATGAAGAAAATGAAAGTTCCTTGAGCTCTACTTCTAGCAGCTGCTAAAGGACACTTGATTTTTGGAATCTGGTAATTTTATCATTTATTTCTAAATAACATAATTTTACCCAGAGTGAGGAACATAGTAAAAAAATAGTTTGGGGTTTTGTGACTTGAAAAAAAAACTTTGATTTTGGAGTTAAAATGGATTCTCAGTTATATTCTGTGAGAGTATTGTTTTCGGAATATAAAGTTACACAAAGTCATTTAAAACTTTATTTCTTTTTATTTTTCTTCCGGCGCCCCCCCACCCCACTTATTACAATGTCCAACTTAAAGCAATACTAGTACAATATTGGCACCCCCACGTAAGTAAACCACTTTACACAGTGTAAAGCCTAGTGTTTGTGTGTGTGTTGTGTGTGTTTGTAACCCCTTTTTGAGCCACATCATTAGCAAAAGTTCACAACTACATAAGCCATTTAAAGAAAGCTCAAAACTACCAAAAGCACAACCAAAATCAAGGTTTTGAAAATACAGATTTGTCTATAGTACCAAACATAGGCTTTAATTTGTTCCAATAAAACATTTTCTGAGACCACAAATCTAAATCTGACACATTGACAACAACTGTTTGGAACAACAATGATTAACAAGCTTATGGCGTTAGCAAGTAGGAGCAGAGGATAGAAAAATCAGAACCTTCCATCTGACTTCCAAGGGCAGAGATGAAGTAGGTCAGACTCTTACAGGACTTAGGCACCCACTGGGGTTCATGAAGCCAAGCAGGGG